GGAGGCCTGGGGTCGCCCTTCTCCCATCTCCCCTGACCTTCTGGAGCTCCCTGTCCCATCCCCGACTCTGAGGGACACGGAGCCAGCCCCGATGCAGTGCCCCTCCCAGCACGCCCGGATCCCTGAGTTTGGGTGATGCCAGGCCCCGTGCGCCCCGCTCCTCTCTGAGCAGGGCAGGTGCTGGGGGGCAGGAGCCCAGGGTCTTCTCTCAGATCCTCCCAGACAGTGGGGGGCTCCTGAGAGGGGCATGGTCTCTGCAGAAAGCCTGGGTGGGGGGCTTGCAGAGTGGCCTCCAGCTCAGGAAGGCGCCAGCTTGGCAAGGCTGCCCAGGGCCAGCCCGGGGAGGTCGCAGGGCAGGGGCACAGCCCTGAAAGGAACCAAAGGGGCTCAGGGTATCCCGGCCAATTTGGGATGCTGCTCACAGCGGGCGTTTGGGACGCTCATTCTACTCTCTTGGCCCCGCGTGTCCTGTGGACATCACAGGTCTCAGCCCCACAGCAGGCCGGCGAGCGGGGTGGTTTCCTTCTCCTGTTTTGTAGGTGTGGTCAGAGAATATAAGTGGGATTTTCTGAGCAGTCCAGGGACAAGCCAACCTGGTATAACCAAGGGAAAACTCGTTTCAGGTGTAAAGAGTGGGCACACCCAGAGGAGTACCACACACTTCGCTTCAGTCGAGGCATGGGGGGAGTCGACGTATGACCTGAAGTTCGACTGATGTCTAAAAAGTTCAGAGCGTGTAAGAATGATTCTCTCACATCAGTGATAATGGCCTGCCTAGGAAGAATCTAGGGCTGGGGGTGGTGGCCCATGCCCATAATTCCAGCACTCAGGAGGCTGAGGCAGGAGAGTCACCATGAGTTTGAGACCAGCCTGGGCTACGTAATCAAGTTTAAGGTCAGCCTGTACTACATGGTGAGACCCCCCCATCTCAAAAAAAATCTAGGAAAAAATAAAATTATTATTCTATAATTCCACTGAGAAAGAAAGAGGAAGTAGGCCAGAAAAAGGAGAAGGAAGAAAAGGAGAAGGAGAAGGAGAAGAACAGAAAGAAGAAGAGGAAGAAGAGGAAGAGGAGGAAGAAAAGGAGGAGGGGGAGGAGGTAAAATAAATAATATAGAAAAACAGTATTACCCAGAGAAGCCTGCCGGTAACCTCCACCCTCAACCATCGGTACCACATGAGGAGGCGAGGGCTGTAGGGAGGGCGGAGGCCGCGCTCAGAGCCCAGGGCTGGCAAAGTGCTGCAGGTCACAAGTTGGCCTTTCAGGTCTTTGGGTCCAGGGAGGTGTGTGTGGGCGGATCCTTCTACTCCTCAGAGGCAGTGGTGGAAATGCTACCGCAGCCTCTAATTCTGTTTCTCTCATCTGCAACCAGAGCACAAGGAAGGACAAGAGCAGATGCCCCTGGACTCATTCCAGGCCCAGCCCTGCCCGGGTGTTTGTGAAACCCCTGTGCCGCCCCAGGACAGCCAGCAGTCTTTTCCTCCCCCTCCTCATCTGTTAGCTCCGAGATGCTCTCTGAGGAAACTGCAAGAAACAGAGCAGGTCATGTGAGAAAGACCCTGGTGGGTTTCCTCATGGGTGGAAACTGGAAATGTGCAGTGAATTGCTAGCAGCTTCGCCATTGATTGAGCAACCTGATCTATTGTCAGGAGAGCCGGGTTTCCCCTGGACATGCCAGCCCTCAGACGGGGGAGCTGGTCACATCACGGAGAAGATCTGAACTATAGTTCTCGTGGCTGTGGCATGAAGATTAAAAATGCTTACCTCACAAGGCAGACTCAGGAATGCAGCTCATGTATATTAAGGTCATGTTGTAAGCTCGTGTGTGTCACACGACGGTAGCTACTTACTGGGGATTCCGTTGTCATTGGTGAGCAGTGACAAGTTTGACTTCAGCCGTGTTTTAGCCAATATTCTATCAAAAGTGTGGACGACATGAGAGGAAATCAGAGTTTTCGGGAGCTACAGTGACAGCTAAGGCCTCTGAGGAGTCTTAAGACTTCACATAATTCCGAGTGAACGCTGGGTGGGGACAGTCACAGTGACTTTGGAGAAAATCCATAAAAAAGATTTACCAAGAAAGCTTTAAATCCTTTTGGTGGCTAAAAATAAAAACCCACAAGGCCAGCGTGAGGAGGCTGCTCCCCGAAAGACCTGGGGGATGGTGGCTGCCAGGGACAGAGGCACCCTCGGAGGCTGAGTCTGTAGCAGTCTTCTTGCGCCACTGCACATCTGGGCCACTGCACATCTGGAGCCGCTTGCTTAATTCTGGGCAGGGCGGGCAAGACGAGGTTTCTAGCGGGCAGCACGTTGCTGAAGGAATGAAAAGTGCCCGGGAAGAGAAAAATAAACAGAGGCGCCTGCGGTTATCACTATAACCAGCTCCACAGCATGGTAGATGCCTCCTGCTGGCCCCCCGCTGCATCAGGCCTCTTCCCCACATCACCCCACTCCCTCCTCGCCGCACCCCGTGAGTCAGGCACCATGCTGCCCCATGCTTTCGCATTCTGCGGGTGAGAAAACAGACTCAGTGTGAATGGCTCCTATGTAGCTAGTAGGGAGAGAGCAGATACTGGATCCCAGGCATCCTGTGGCAGAGCCGGTACTTTCCACCAACATGTCCTGCTGTCTAAGAGTTGGGGGTCGTAGACGCTAATTTATAATATTGGAAGGATCATCCTGTGGAAGGTGCCTTCTGCCCTTTGCTACGTATTTCAAAAAGGCAGAGGTCGTCCCAGGAAGTATAAACACTGGAAGGGAAATTTAGAGTCAGCTTGGATCCATTGCCCTGAAATTCTCTAACCACTTGCAAAGCGGAGGCTGGGGGCCACCCCAGGGTCCCCAGTGCTGTGAGGTTGTCCTAGGGAACCTCGAGGACTCCTTCGGGCTCTACAGTTTCATTAGGCTCAGCCTTGTACAATGCATGCGTCAGGACCCAGAACCTCCTGCAGGACCCTGCCCCGCTCTGGTTTGCCTGGAAAAGCAAGGACATCCCTGATCATCAGCCACAGCTGGGCTGGGAACCCGGACCGCCCATGGGCTGGGCCCTGAGTTGGACCATGCAGGGCAGAGGGCACTCGATAGCTTAGGATAAAGGATGGAGTTGCAGTCTGATGAGCATTTTAAGTATGATGATGTACATAGAGGATCAGCCTTTATATCTCCTTCGAAAATGGGTCTCTCACCAAGTCTCAATCAAAACTAGATTCTCAGTAAAACATTCCGGCCAGACTTGGTGGCATGTCCTCTAATCCCAGCACTCAGGAGGACGCCCTCAAATTCTGGGCAGCCTGGGCTACATAGTGAGACCCTGTCGCAGAAAACAAGAATAACAACACCACCACAAAACCTCTTCCGTGGTTCCGAAGTAGCCCAGGACGCAGTACTTTTCATGTGCTTACCACTGTCGTAGATAATGTAAGGTAATAAAAAGTGGTAGAATAATGATTTTTCCCCCTCGAAACCATGCCTGCAGTTCTCTTCGCTTGGAATGGTTCCTTCTCGTTCCTCCTGCCTGACAGAGCCGCCTCCCTGTCTAGACCAGGTGAAAAGCTTTGTGCTCCAGGGCACCTCATTCAGGCTGGGAAGGGAAGACCGTCAGTCGCACCCCTGGCTCAGTGTCATCCCTGCTGGACTGTGACGGCCCGAGGGCAGGGCTGGGTGTGTTTTGTTCCCTGCTGTGCTAGGACAGTGCCCCAAAGCAAGCAGGGCTGGGACCTGTGAAGTATGCCTCTGAGGAGGGAAGGATGAAAAAGCCTGGCCCTGTCCCACAGGGCGCAGAGGGTGTCCCTGTGCTGGAGTAGGGACCGAGGAGAGTGGGGCTCAGCCCTGGCCCCCAGGGAGGCGGGTTGGGGAGAAGAAGTGCCCGGGGCCACCCCAGCCTGTTGGTGGCAGTCTCCTGCAGCAGTCCCTGGCGCCCACACCTCCACGCCCAGCTCGTGTCGTGTCTGGGGCAGGCGTGTACGTGCCGGCAGGACCCGGGCTGGTGAGTGAACGGGACAGCGTCAGGTGTGGACCACAGGATGTGCAGGCCGAGGTTTCCGAGGGGCCCTGCGAATGTGAGCAGCGTGTCCTTTGCTGTTGCTCCTGGTCCACCGGCCCCTCGCCCCTGCAGATGGCTGCGCCGTGTAACTGCGGCCTGCCGTCCCTGCTGTCTGCCGGGCCGAGGGGCCCATGGGCCACCCAGAGTCGCCAATGGAAAATGAGCCCAGCCTTTAAAGTTGATGTGCTCAGGGGACGCCAAGCAGCCTGAGCCAAGGGCCACGCGGCCGGTAAAACCAAAGCCTGAGACAGGACAGGACCGCCTCATTCCAGTGTCAGCAGGGCTCCTGGTGACAAGGGCCAAGGCAGGCGCAGGGCACAGAGGTGCCGCTGTCACCTCCTTGGCACAGTGAAGCCCGTAGCCCAGTGAGATGGATGAGGCAGGGGGCCCCAAGTGCATGAAGGGGAAAGTACAGGAGCGCCAGCCCCACTCCACCCGGTGACACCCAGGGGCTGTCCCCGCCCACCGTGGACGCCACGAGGGCTGCACTCCTTGCCCTGCGTCCTGTGCGCCTGAGACTCCTGCCCCTGCCTTGTGTTCAAGCACAGGCGTGAAACCCCGTCCCTGTGTCACCTGGCTTCTGTCTGACTCTCTGCCAGAGCACAGGAGCTGGGCCTGGGGACGCCGGAAGGGCACGGCCACGTCCGTGATGGAGCAGGGTTGGGTAAGAGCCGGATCGCTAATGCATCGGCATTCAGACTGTGCGGACCTGCAGCTGGGAGCCGGGCGGCCCCCACTGAGGAACAGGGTGCAGGACACTCCTCCATCCGCTGCCACACGGGGCCAGCGCCCGTGCAGGACTCCTGGCGACGCTGTGGGGACGGCCAGGCCCGTGCTCTTCTGGGGGCGGCATGCAGTGCACTGGGGGGTTGCGGAAAGAGGTCCCCTCCGAGTCAGGAGGGAGCTGAGGGCATGGGCGGGAGACGGGAAGGCAGAGAAGGCACCGCGAACACCATGTTAAAGAAAATGATTTATTTAAAGTGTTAAATACCATCACCAGAATGAATTTGATTTACATTAGTTGGTGTTTGTTACAGGACTCATCTGCCCTTTTATCTCCAACTGGAATTCCCTTTGCATTAAAACAGACTATGTACAGGGCAGCAGTGGTCACTGGCTTAGTGCTATTTACACAACTAAACCGTAAGTCGAGGTGCAGACATGTGAAAATTAAAAAGAACACATCGACTTTTAAATAAATACTGCATAATGACAAGTATGTACAAATATCCCATACAGTCATGTCCTTCTTATTAAAATTAGAAATAATTTGTATAGGAATACGCACAAAAGATCACGTGACTGCCTCTTGGGATGAGGAAAATGGTAAATGTTTATTCTAAGGGGCGGCATAGACACTCTAGGTCTATGAAATCAACTGTTGCTGGTACACAGGAGGCGAAACGGTTTCAATAAAGTTTTATTCTTTCTTTGACCAACCTTGCCTGGGCCATCACACACCTAGAATGTCGAGACACGGTCTCGGTGGAGTTCATATTGCACCACGTAAAGAGAAGGCATTTTTAGTGATACTCGTTTTATCTTCTGCACCATATCAAGCATGATGGTTTTCAATGGTCAGCACTGAATTAAAAAAAAACAAACAAACAGTAATTTTTGTGCATGGCTTTCATTTAAACAAATGGGATGTCTGTGGATTTCAACAATTATTGCAAGAAACTGAAACTAGTCCATAAGAATATGTTGTCAAGCACACATAAAACCCAGGAAGTACAGGCGGTTGATGACGTTACCCCGTGACTTCCTCTCAGAGAGACTGAGGACAAGTCCGGGCTCTCAGCTCCGCCCGCGGCAAGAGCTGTTGGGAAACCAAAGGCAGGGGTTCGGACTTCCGGATTCGCCTGGAAACTTTTGGTGATGGCGTCAAAGGACTATTCATAGACACAGTGACTTTCTCTGAGTCACCTAAAAATTGGAGCTTTAAAATTGCTGCAAATTTATGTCTACTATCTTACTTTAGAAATATAATTTGTGAAAAATTGAATTTTACTACAGAAATATGAATTAATAAACTGCCCTGTGTCTTAGGGCTCCAAGTTTTAGCAGTGTATTCACACAGTAAACGGAAACCGGCTGAAGAAACCGCCTCAACAAATTAAAAAACAAATAAAACCTATGACCTCCAACACACAGTATTTTAACCCCTATATGAATAATGCGGGTGCTAAAGCAAATCTATTAGAAGTTATGATGGCCACATGACTTTAGGATTTTCCTGTAAACTGAATTTTGAAGATGAAAAAAGATGACCATGCACTGTACAATGAACTGCAAGAGTTCAATATCTCCTTTGTTAAGTCCATGCTGACAACTTTTCTGTGCTCCTGAGCCATGTTGCAAAGCCCTTTCCAACACGCTTGAAATAAAGAGAGCTCTTACATGACTTCTGTCCCTTGGGAAATTCACAAATTTAGAGGTATCCACAGCTCTGAATTAAACATGGGACGGAAGAGTCAGATTAAAAACTTGTCATTTTTAGTATTAGGTTCACTCTGGTAGGGAAAAAGAAAATAAAAGACCAAAAGAGAAAGAAGAAAAGAGAGACAGGAAAAGAAGGAAGATGTGAAAAATGTGTGCACACTGAACTTCATAGGATTTGTGTATTGAACATGGAAATAAAGTGAATATGTTATATTTATCTGTCACATAAAGAGAATTTTAAGTATCTTCTAGAAAGTATTTCCATTTGTAATGTCTGCCAAAATACAGACTCTGGTAAAGAGTAAACACGGTGTCTGTGTATCACCCTGCCGCATTCTCTCCCAGTTTTAAAACCATGCACTAGTGAAATTTATCTTTAAAAATAATATAAATTGTTGAAAATGGCTGATTTTTATTCTTTTTTTTTGCAAGTTGCAGCCCCAAGAAAATAAGTATTCAGCTGTGTCCATGCAAAAAAGTGTCTTTAATTTCATTCAGTACAGGGTAGCCACAGAATTTGGTTTTCAGAGTCCAACACATCTTGGCATTGGTGCACGACGGGCCACTCTGCCCACGGGCCCCGGCCGAGCCCGGGCGGCTGGCTCCCAACCACTTCTTTGGTCTCTTGCTTTTCACCTGGTGCGTCCCAGGACCCCACTCCTGGGCCTGTGACATGGCTTCACGGCTGGGAAGCCCCGTTTCTGTGGCATACCAGGGCTTTGGGTCCGATAAATGAAGAAAACGGAACGATAAAAATAGAAAGGTGCCATTGAAAAGGGCTTTTGTTGCATGAAACTGACTGATTCTTTGAGATTAATCCATGGCTTCAGATTGGACCAGAGCTCGAGTGTCACCGAATGCCACACCTGATAGCTCTTCCTGCTCTGCTCGTCACCTGAGGACCTTCGCTAGGGCACAATGTGTGCGACTTCCTCTGAGAACACAGGGTCGCTTCGCATCCCTAGAAAGGGGCTCAGAAGACACGACAGTAAGCATGCAGTGTTACCAGGGTCTGCGACCTGTGGATTTTTTTGTAACGCTGGTTGCTGTGACAACAGTTTTACAGCTGCTATGAACGAGAGTAGGAAGGTCCTGCTGAACTCTCCAGGGAGGACTGGGAAGCTCTTCTGGTCAGAGGGGCCAGAGTCGGGTCTACCAGGGAGGACGGGGGGAACAGTCTGAACCACCCGATCACCATGTTGGACAGCTCCAGCTCGTCCAGAAGGATCTGGGCCACTCCCATGAAGGATTTGTGATCCATTCGGCCGTAATCACCCCAGACAATGATCTGTTGGCAAAATATAAAGTAATGTCAGTATAATCATGTGTACAACACAACACTTGTGAAATAAATTAACATACATTCAGTTAATGTTCTGACATGAAAGTTCAAGTTAAGCCAGGCACACTGGCACACGCCTGTAATTCTGGACAACCTGGGAGGCTGAGGCCGGAGAATGGCAAGTTTGAGTGTAGTCTGGGCAACTTAGCAAGACTTTGTCTCAAAATAAAATTTAAAAAGGGCTGGGGATTCTAGCTGAGTGGTGCAATGCTTGCCTAGCATGCACCAGGCCTTGGTTCAATCCCCAGTATGAAAAGAAGAAGAAGAAGAAAGGAAAGTTAAGCAGTCGTGACTAGCGGGATGGCTGTCTTTCCTACTTGAATCCTGAGTTGCACAAGAAGACACAGCGAGTGTCAGGGGCAATAGGAGCCCGAGGAGGCTGGAGCTGGAGAGATGGGAGTTTGCCAGCCTAGAATCTCTCAGGAAACAACGTGCCCAGCTTCAGAGCGTGCTGCCGCCCTGGAGTTTCAGAGGGCTCAGGGCTTGAGGCTGGCGGACCAGGCCCGGCCTAGGCAATGCCCTTACACAGGGCGAATGGGCGGGCGAGCGGGCGGGCGGGCGAGTACCTGTAACACCTTTCCCTGTGGGCTCTCCTCGAAGGACAGCAGCTGCTGGTACAGGGGCTCCAGCGTTTTCCTTGCCACTTTGGTTTTCTTTTTGGCTATGCAGACTCCGTTATCTAACAGGTACACTTTTACGTAGGGTGCTGGGGAGAGAGCAGAGAGACACGGGGGTGTGTGTGGCAGGGGCGCCTGGTTCCCGGGGCCCTTTGTCTGCCTTCAGTGCGAAGAGTGGGCACCATCACAGCCCTGGGGCACCCCCCGCCGGCCACTGAGAGGGGCAGGGAGGGAGATTTTTATTATTCTGTCAACTGGCTACACGGATCCAAACGTTAGCCAGGGCAAAGTGCCTCCGGGAGCAGTCAAGAAAGATGCCTCAGTCTTTCTGCCCCAGCACTGGCTTAGAGCCGTGTTGTTTTATTCATGCCCACAAATCGCTTCACTGCAAGGCGTTTATTCCCTGGCGCTGGTGTGGGCATGAGGCGGGTGGTCTTCATGCTATGCGTTCAGATTAGCTGTGTGGAGGCAGCTAGTTATGAATTCTATGGCTCAAAACTGATCTGATAGATGTTTCACAAAAATCACGTTCACGCGATAAAAATCATGACATTTCCTAAGACAGAGTGGGCAGACCGGCTCCAAGGCCTTCACAGACGCGCTGCCAGGCACAGCACCAGGCTGACAGGGAGCCGTCTGCAGTGTACTCTACACTTCTGCGGGGATACGGACGGTAAGAGGTTTGGAGTTAGGAGTTTGTCAGTGGAGGCGCTGAGGCTAGAGACCAATTTCAAAACTCTCAGAGTGGCTTTATGCATTACGTCTGGTGATTTCTGCACAGTGCATGGAGGTCATCGTGCCACACCCTGCGGCCCTGCAGTGTGAAACGTGGCATAACAAGGCAGAGTCCTTCCTCGCGAACGGCAGGATCCCCGGCATGCGGGGGCTGCTGCCTCGGTGGACCTCAAATTCTCATCCAGCTCCAGAGCCTCCGCGCCTCGGGAGAACCCCCAATCTCCAGATAAACTGGAGAACGCACAGCACCAGGAAGCAAGAGGTTCTTGGGTACATGTGGTGACAAAATGAATGACTGAATTCCTTGGTGGTCTTTTCTTTGGCACTGGTTTCTACTCGCCGTACTTATTCAACACGTTGTATATCCCAGCAAGGGACATGAACACTCATGCGCGATAACGCAAACTATGAAGGCCCCACACCAGCCAGACAAGCGACTCACCGTCTCCATCCTTGATTTAACTAGCAACGAAGGTTCCAGCAAAAACAACGAGGTCCCCGAACCGACGCTAGGCTTATGGACAGTAACCGGAACCGCCCCTGCTCTTACCTGGCAGTGTCTTGGAACCTGGTTTTACAACAAGGCCACGGGCTCGGATGATCTCCACCTCCAACTGTCCCTTCTTGTCCAGCATTCCCACCTGGATGTCGCCTAGGGTGTCGGGAGAGACAGACGCGCTTACTGTGCCACGCAGAGAGAGTGTGGTGTGCCAAAGGCTCTGCTTCACATCATTTCTCTCACAGTTTATTTACATCTAATATTGATAGGTTTTTTATTCATTATTATAGATCAAAGTCTTCCTTCAAAAATCATAAGAAATTAAAAAAGTAAAAATGAGATTTTTTTTTGTTAAGATCTAAGATGACTTACTATTTGTGATAACAGTCACAAACTCAGTGAAATTTCGAGAATGTAATTTTTAAGATTCTAACAGAACACTCTGGAAGTCAGGGGACGAACTCACCCATCGCAGGGGTGGCCAGCGTCTGGCGGCCCACCAGCTGGGCAGGGCCGAGGCCATCCAGGAAGTCGCTGAATTGGCTGTCGGAGGCCAGGCGGACGCCGGGGAAGATGAGGCTGCGCAGAGAAAGACAGGCAGCGTCAGTTCCCAGCCCCTGTGCACTGGGGCACCGAGGCCGCCCGTAAGCCCGGGAGGTGGCAGACAGCCGCTTCTGTGGCCTGCCACTTACCTGTGCCAGATGCCACCCCCCCGGCCCTCGCTGCCCCTGTCATGGAGGCCCTGTCGCCGCACCTCAGGCCTGTTTACTAAAGCGTCCCTCCCTCGCGTGGCCCGCAGGCAGGGCTGCTGCGTCTGTCCCTGGCGTGCTGTGTGCGCAGCACACCTTTGGTGGCTCTGTCCTCGGCGTCCTCCCAGCTGGGCCAAACCGGCCCCAGGGCCACGGCCTTTCCGCTCCACCTGGCGCCGTGCAGCCTGCTTCCTCCCGCAGGAACCTGGGTGAGCCCGGCCTGCCCTGCTCCTCCCTCCGCCCCGATCTTCCCTTGCAGCTCCCTGAGGACCTGCCACTGCGGCTGGCTGGGGTGGCACAGGCTGTAATTCCAGCACTCGGGCTAGGGCAGGAGCATCACAAGATTAGTCTCTGCCTCACAGTAAAAACAGAAGTAAACGTTCTCACTGTGCTGTCTGCATTATCTTTCATTCTCCTTTGAAACTCTAGTCAGCTTTTCACTTTCACCACTTCGCCAAAACCTCTCGGATCAAAGTTACTGAATGAACACAGAGGTGAGCCAGGCGTTTGTGCTCAGCGCGTCCACTGGGAAGACTCGGCACTTCCTCTTCCTCTTCCTCTTCCTCGGAGCGCTCCTGTGCTCCCTGTCCTGGAAGCCTGCACTCCTTTTTCTGGGGGGAGGGTCTTTTTGAGACAGGGTCTTCCTATGCAGTTCAGGCTGGCCTTGAGCTCAGTTTGTAGCCCGGGCTGGTCTCAAACTCACAATGATCCTCCTGCCTCAGCCTCCCGAGTGCTGGGATTACAGGGGTGCACCACCACACCCGACTGAGCCTGCACTCCTGCTCTTAGTTGACCACTAAACAACACAGTGCAATATTTTGACCTCTTTTCCCTTCCCTTCCCTTCCCTTCCCTTCCCTTCCCTTTTTTTCCTTTTTCCTTTTTTCTTTTTTCTTTTTTCTTTTCTGCAGCCCTGGAGATTGAACCCATGGCCTACACACTGTGCTACATCCCAAACCTTTTTTTATTTTGAAACAAGGTCTTGCTAAAATCTCTAAGTTGCCCGGGCTGGGCTTGAACTCGCTCTCCTCCTGCCTCAGCCTCCCAGAGAGCTGGATAACAGGCGCGTGTCACATGCAGGATTCCCTTTTCTGTTCTGTCTGAATCCCTGGGTGATCTCGCCTTGCTCATGGATTTCAATGATTCATAGGGCTGTGCCCGTGTTGGTGTCTCCAGCTTGGATCACGGGTACCACAGCCGCTCAGTCTACACAGCTGCTCAGGTGCTTTACAGGCATTTGAGGCCTGACTTGTTCAAAACCGGCCCCAAAGCTCTCAACAGAAAAGCCAAACTCTGGTCCTCAGAGAAGATCCCCACCCTGTAACGGCCACTGCACTCTCCCGCTCGCCCGGCCGTGGACACATTTCCCTCCCTCTGTGCAATGGGCCAGTTGTGTGCCCGCAAACTTACACGCACCAAGGTGCAGAGGAAAGGCCTTCCGAAAACTCAAGGCAGCCACCTGCCAGCCAGAGGCAGAGACCCCAGGAGGGTGGAGCTGCTGGCGACACCCGGACCTTGAACCTCTAGCCTCTGGGTTACTGAGAAACACGTTTGTCACTTAAGCCACCGGCCTGTGGCACTTTGTTACCACACACACTGGTATGTGTTACTGTTCTGTGCCACGGTAAACCCCGCACATGGACTCGCTAACGCCTCTGCTTCCGTGCAAGCTGGCATCGTCTCATAGTGTCACCCGGCCTGCTAACCTGGAAGTCAGATCCCGCTCCCTACAGGAGGCCCTGCGCCCCTTGCCTGCTCTGGATCTTGGCGCGGCGGCCGGGGCCTGAGCCTGAAGCCCTCGCTGCTCTGCAGGCCGCTCTGCTGCTCCCTCCCTGCAGCGCTCAGAGTGCTCTCCCTGCTGCTCTGAACCCGCAGCTCTCATCTTTCCCTGGCCTTATTTTCCCCTCAGAGCGCACATCACTTAATTTTACTCTCTACATTCGACTGTTTTTCCTTGTATGTAACTTCTCCAGCAGACTGCCGGTTAATGAAGGTAGGGTTGTTGTCTGCTGTTGTATCTTACCTCCTGGACCCGTGCCTGGAATATCGTAAGCACTCAATAAATACTATCATACTCAACAAAGTGACGCCTGGGGAAACAATTTGCCCGAGCTTCTCTAATACCAAAGGCCCACCGAGGGCCAGGCCTGCGGGTTTCCGGGCCCTGGACCTCCCCACGGACACCCAGTGTGCGGAGGACTCAGGAGCCAGGCACGGATGCGGACGCACAGGCCACGCTTATGCACCGGCACACCCTGCGCGGGGCCTCGCCACGGTCACCACCAGCGCTCAGAGCCCACGGACTTTCCCCTCGGGCCTCCGCCTCTCTTCAGACTCCTGGTGAGCACAGAGTCTGCTTCTTTCCCTTCATCTCAATCCCTAGTATTCAGTTAGCACGAACGCTTTGGCACACCGGCACCGATATCCCATGTAACTCTATTTACGAGGGTCTGAGGCCCACAGGCACCTTGCAGTGACATGGAATCCTGCAGACAGACCACCTCGCGCTTGTCCTTAGCACCGGGTCAGGGGTTCCGACGGCCTCGCGTCTGCACACGGACCACACGCGTGTCCGGGAGTCTGTGCGACCACAGCGATGGCAGAACAAGGCCACGCCCTCCGCTTTCTTCCGTTAATGTCCTTATCACCCCTTCACAATCTGTAGTCACTACTGCCATTAACTTGTCGGTGATGGGGCTGCAGTCTTTAGAAATGCTTTAACATAGCTTAAAGGCAGCTGATTCATAGGAAGGCTTCACAGAACTACGAGAAGAAGAGGCTCACCAACTTTTTGGTGCATTTCCTTTCAGTTGTAGACTTCATATAATTTTTTGATTATAATAAAAATATGCGGACACAGACTTAGCTTCAAGCAGTGACAATTACACTTCCGTTGTACATTAATTTCATTGTAAGCATTACTGCATGGAACTATCAGATGATAAACTACATGAAAGGTGATTGCTATTACAGGAAACTAAGCATGTATCAGCATTCCATTTTTGGACATAATAACCCTTAAGCAGATAAAAGTTTTTAAAAATGAGTATTGTCCACACGGCATGGCACGAGTCCTTACTGCGCTGTGTGTTTCAGGTACTACTGCATGGTAGGGCAGCACAATTTAAACACACGGAGTGTGAGAGTCACATTTCAGCATCCCGCTGTTAAAGCAGGACTCTACCCCAACCCATTTCCTTCGACACAGAAGCTGGAACGTTACTCTGCTCAGTGGCCGTGAGCCCCGCTGTGTCCACAGGAAATGAGCCTGCGGGGCAGTGTGATGGGCAGCATGGGCTGGCACCCAGAGAGCAGAGCGTGGACAGTGCAGGGCGCCTGCCAGGCTGATCGCCACACCCCGCAGCGCACCACTCACTTTCCTTCCGAACTGTAGCTGTTCATGCTGCCGTCGGTGGACTCACGGCTGGCCTGCCGGGTCATCCAGTTCCTCATCTCCACAGCCAGCCCGGTCTCCGTGCTCCTCTGGACAGTGCTCCGCAGCTTTTTACCTCCTCCTTCTGCAGAGACAGAAACCACAGGTGTCAGAGCTTTGTCACCACCACCGGGCCGCAACACACCAGCCAATACTGCCAGGTCCTCAGAGGAAAAGAACTGCATGTATCCAAAGTGCTCCTAGTAAGAAGACAGAGGGAAAGGCATTTAAAACAATCTTAAACACTGTCGTATTGAGTGATATAAAAATCTTTAAGAGGCACAAAATACCACTGTTTTATTTCCATTTAAAACAGTGTTCCAACTGCTAACATCAGAGAAGAATTCAACCTGAGGAAAATAGAATAAGCTTTGCTTTCACTGTAGTATAAAATGCCAGGTTAATTTATGCCTAGCACCTTGTTTTAATTGTAATATTGAAATGCCAGATTAATTTATACCTACCTTTGTTTCCTGTTTCTTTTTGTCATAGTAGAAGAATTAGACCTTGGTGCTATTTATGCAGAACAGATAGTGAAAAATACTCAAATTCTAGCCTTACTTTTCACGAGAAAATCTGTTTGTGTCAGCTGAGGGACGTCAGCAGGCAAAGAAGTGCCACAAAGGAAAGCGCAGCCTGCCAGGAGCTTCCCCTCTTGGTGCCTTCAGCAGGGTTCTCACGGGCAGTGTAGCAGCCCAGCGGCGCTGTGTGCAGCCAGTTCGCTCCTGGCCACAGACAGCGTGTCTGCGGGGGTCTTCACGGTGTGCTGGTGAAGTTGTGCTCGGAGCCATGAGGACAGCAGATGCGGGGCGCATCTGAAGGGGTGCGGAGAGCGGGGAGACAAGAAGCTGAGCCCAAATTAGGGACCTGCAGGGCTGAGGGGTGGCGCTGAGAGCACGCAGCCGCAGCAGGCGGGCGGCAGCCCGAGACTTGCATCCATTCACTTCTTGGGGCCCACACTGCCTCGCGTGGGCTGTGCGATGAGCCGCTCTCCCAGACCCTCCGTGCAGCCAGGGCCACGACTTGCTGAGACCTCCTCGCGAGCCTTTTACATTTGCTCTCCACTTTGAAACAGTGCTTACATTTCATCCATTTCCTATTTCAACTGTAACAAGCTACAACAGCTCTAAAGAGCGTGAACAAACACAGACTGTGACTGACACACAGCTCGTCCCAGAGACCCAAAGACAGTATTTTAACACTGATCACAAGCATGTTGTGCTGAGATGAGTGATAACCAGACATGCTTCCCCTGCTGACGAGGGAGAGCGCCTACTCACAGAGCAGTGTTAGTTAATAAATGTAAAGGAATGATGAATCTAAAAATTATCAATTTGCAGCCTCCACTGGAAGCATGGCTCATCAGTGGAGGCTAAAACCATTAGATGAAAGACTGGGAAAAGGTGTTTAGATGATCCAAATAATCATTCCACAAATTAGTTCTAATTGTCAGAGGGCAGTGAGAAAAGGAATTTAACACGGGAGACCTGGTTATCATTACCTTAGTGATCAAACAGTACTGCTAATAATGGAGGCAATCATGTGTCCCTCCTGATAGAAGATATGTTATCACCCATCAAGCTGTTCTAGACAAAAAATGACCTCTTCTAATCAAGACCTTGGGACCAACCAGTGTTCAAAAACACAGGGGGCAGAGTAACAAAATAAACAACACACACACAGGATGGTCAGACAAATCCAGAACATGGGATACTGTTCAAGAGAATTAGACTAATATTTTAACATAATGAAAAACAAACAACAAGCCATGTGAAGGAAGGTTTCAGACAAAACTCTACCAAGGAGATGGAACCATCCAGTGTTGTCAGTATAGTTCAACCTTTGTTTGGGAAAACAAAACAAAATAAGAAACCCTATAAATAAAACAGTATAAAATCAATTTCACTACAAGTAGAGAAAATGTGAATATGGATTGGATATTAGATGGGATATCTAATTGCTAACTGTTTGGGGGCAGAGAATAGCACATATTACAAAGAATTACCCAGCGCTTGGCAAGGTTGAGCCTGAGGCCAGCCTGGGTAACATAGTAAATTCAAAGCCAGTCTAAAATACCTACCAGGACCCTGTCTCAGAGAAAAACAAAAAAGAATTTCTTTTAAGATATACATGTGAAAGTCTTTAGACCTGAAATCTTACACTGTCTGCAATTTATTTTCCAGTGTGCAGTAAATAAAAAACACAAATGCATAGAACAAATAAGGAAAATGTTTTTCAAAAGATGTGGAGACAGAGTAGGCCTTAGTATTCACGACTTTGCTACTTACTCTTTATAACTTTATTTCATAATGACCCTTAAATGACCACATAAAAAAGTACAGCATCTGCCCAGGTATGGACACAGGCACGGGAGGTGCCAGCTGGTGAGTGAGACCCAGCTTCTCCCTGTAGCCTTCCACCTCATGAGAACAATGTGTTTGTGAAAACTGCCATCAAACGAGGGATACCTCAGGGAGGCTTGAAAGTGGGGACTGAGTATCCATAGGAAATACACCACTTGGAAAGGAAGTGAGATTTCCAAAGATTCCAGCCTGGCCTATCAACACTAGTGTTTTAAAGTTAACATCTGACTTTTATGCAAAGAGAGCTGACAGCCACAACAATACAGTGAACAAGTATACAATCTTTTTGTTCACAGATTCCTTTATCCCCATATCCTCTTCATAAGAACTCTAAAAATCCAAACCAAAACAAAAACCACATTTTTTAAAAAGATGCAGCATCTAAGGGCCCCAGCAGATCACACAATTCCCTGAAGTTACACAGTGACAGGACCAGAATTTATGCAGTTGCGAGACTCCAAATTCTTTGCTGTTCGTTAATCTGTCACCAGAATATAAGCGCCATGCAGTCTGTGCAGCTGTGTGTGGACGTGAGGGCTTGGGAGCTCTGGAGTGGCGGGGTGGGGGGCTCAGAAGCCGCCTGGAGGTGGGAAGAGCAGGGCACAAGAGGAGCCAGGCCCTGTGTCAAACTGCTTCTCTACTACTGATAAGCTGGGTGATACTGAGCAAGCCACTCTCTCTGTGAGTCAGTTTTCTCATACCATGAAGTGACAGTGATGGTAGTAATATGGACCTCACAGGATTTTTGTGAGGATTAAGAAAAACAAACACCTACAGTGCTTAGGATAATCTCAACGGATACAGAGAAAGTCTTGTAATAGTCATTTTCCCATTATTGGGACAAAATACACAACACCCAGATCTCAGGAGGAGAGGCTTACGTTGACTCATGGTTTTGGGTTCAGTCCATGGTCAATCGGCTATAAGACAGAAATGACAAGGTGGGAGCCTGGTATAGGAGAGCTGCTCACTCCATGGCAGCCAGGAAGGAGGGAGAGCAAGCAGGAGCGGGACAAGAATATGCCCTTCAAGGTCACACACCAGTGGCCCACTTCCGACCAGGCCCTACCTCCTAATGGTACAGTCAGCCATCAACACTCACCAATGGGTTGATCCACTGGTGAGTACAGTGCCCCCACAATCCACTCACCTTCCAAAAGCTCCACCTCTGAATACATGAAACTCTGGGGGACATTCTAGGTCTAAACTGTAGCTGTCCTCAGCCAATGGCATTACTGTTATTATGACCAGAGTGGGAGTCAGAAAACAGGTAGTCTAGGCCAGGTTCCATCACTGACTAGCTGGCTGTATAGTCTTCTCAGAGTCACACATCCTCCCTGAGTTCCTGGCTCATCTATGACAAAGGCAAGTGGAGGCGGGCAGATGCCCTCTGATATCTTGCCGTTCTAAAATCTGTGAGGTGGTATCATTAGAGGGTAACCAAGACCATGATTTATAGCATACATCAAGGAGATACACTCTTTCCCATCACCTGATGGAATCAAAGAAATCTAGCTAGTGACTGTGTAGGAGAGCTATTAGTATACTACTCACAGGAGCCCTTTAAAACTTGTCTTTAAATGTTCCATTATCTGAAACACCCACAAACATTTTATAAAGGAAATTTATTTTTTAGCACCACAAAATCTTTGTGTCACTTTCACAATGAAAGCAATTTAATCTAAACACAATAATGCATCATGGTGATTTACCTTTAACGTTCCAGATCATTTCTTATGTTATTCAAACTAAAACCTGTCTGGAACAGGGAAGGTACAAGGTGCGTGAGGTGGGCCGAATTCTGAGGCTGAGAGGCTCCCATGGTCACGTTACTCTACATGGCAAAGGGGTTCTGCAGGGGTAGTTAAGGTAACCAACTGGTCAACCGAAAGACATGGAGACAATCTCGTGGGCCTGGCATAACACACAACCGCTCACAGTAGGAATGCACCCTGGCTGCTTCCAGAGAGGGAATCAGAGAGATTTAAAAGAAAAATTCAGGGTACTCTTCCAGTCATGGTTTCAGCAGTGACAGAAATCCTGAGGAGAACACCCAGTCACGGGTGCTAGGCTTGTGACCACAGAGCTGTGAATAAATGGGTGCTGCTGAATTTGTGGTAATTGTTGCATCACAATAGAGAACTAAATGGTAAACTCAGAGTCATACATATATATGTATATATTGTTTTGTTTTGTTTTAAATTTTTGAGATGGGGATCTTGCTATACAGTTCAGGCAGTCCTTGAGCTCACTTTGTAGCCCAGGCTGGTCTTGAACTTGCAAGGATCCTCCTGCCTCAGCCTCCTGAGCCAAGTGCTGGGATTACAGGTGTCCACCACCACACCTGGCTTATATTTGTATTTTTTTATGGAGATACATATAAAAATATTCTATTATGACCATAGATGGATCAACCAAAATTGTGAGAACTTAGTTATAACTGTGTAGTACACACGTTTACATACATGTGCATAATGTGTATATATATATGTACATATATACACACACATATTGAGATAGTAAAAGAAAAGTGGGAAAAGCTAGAACAAAGGCCCTGATTTGGTGAGCCCTTAAACCACTCTGATATTACCACTGCAAACCAAAGTGCACTTGGAGGTAAAAATCAAGTTCTTGATTTGGAGGTAAAAATCAGCGTCCTTATTATTCTGCTCTGTTTAGTCTGATGACTGATTTCAAAGAAAGCCACTTGATCAAAGGAGAG